CATTTAAGTCATCACAGAGCACTGTCTTTTTAATGTGACTGCTAGAACATTAAAAATTTTTTATGTTACTCTTATTATATTTCTACTGGACAGAGCTGACCTAAATGACCTAATGGTCACTAGACTAGTGATTTCCCAATACTTTTGATAAGTTTTTGGAGCACAAATCCCCAATTTACATACTTTTATTTATACATAATATACATGAACACTACTCTGTATATTATGTACATTATAAAACACTGACCAAATGGATGCTTTAAAAAGATGAAATAAAAAAAGAGCAGAAATAGAAGTTGTACTAATTTCTTTCTGGAGCCCAGAAAGAGGTGCATTTTGTGCATCACTTGGAGTCTGCACACACCATTTTAGAAACTCTTACACTAAACACTGAGAGCTCCTTCCTGAAAGAGACTATTAATTTGCATCTCCCTGGGGTTCCCTGGTTGTTCAGACAGTGAAGAATCTGACTGTGGTGCAGGAGACCCAGGTTAAATCCCTGGGTCGGGAAGATCCCCTGAAAATGGAATGGCTACCCACTCCAGTATTCTTGCCTGGAGAATCCCATGGACAGAGAAGACAAGGGGGCTACAGTCCATGGGGTCACAAAGAGTCAGACACGACTGAATGATTAACACTTCACTTTTTATTTCTGTATTGTTGAATCTAGTACAATACCTAGATATAGTTGGTGTTCAGTAAATATTTGTGGCAGGAATAAATAGCTCTTCATATGCAATACCTTTCTGGTGGTTTGGATGTATTTCTTTATTTCACATGCACTGAGCCCTTTCTAGGTGCCAGGTGCTATACTATAGAGTGAAAAGTAAACAAAGTTTAGTTCAGTTCAGTTCAGTCGCTCAGTCGTGTCCAACTCTTTGCGACCCCATGAATCGCAGCACACCAGGCCTCCCTGTCCATCACAAACTCCCGGAGTTTACTCAAACTCATGCCCATCGAGTCAGTGATGCCATCCAGCCATCTCATCCTCTGTCGTCGCCTTTCCTCCTGCCCCTAATCCCTCCCAGCATCAGGGTCTTTTCCAACAAGTCAACTCTTTGCATGAGGTGGCCAAAGTAGTGGAGTTTCAGCTTCAGCATCAGTCCTTCCAATGAACACCCAGGACTTATCTCCTTCAGGATGGACTGGTTGGATCTCCTTGCAGTCCAAGGGACTCTCAAGAGTCTTCTCCAACACCATAGTTCAAAAGCATCAATTTTTCAGCACTCAGCTGTCTTCACAGTCCAACTCTCACATCCATACATGACCACTGGAAAAACCATAGCCTTGAACAGACAGACCTTTGTTGGCAAAGTAATGTCTCTGCTTTTTAATATGCTATCTAGGTTGGTCATAACTTTCCTTCCAAGGAGTAGGAAGACTCAAAAAAAAAAAAAAAAGCCCCTTTGCTCTAGGCCAGTGTTTCTCAAATTTTAGGGCATGTAAGAATCACCTGGAGGGCTTATTAAACAGATCCCTGCCCCCCCACCCCAAGATTTTGATTGAGAGAGAATGAACATGAACATGTCAGGAACTTTAAAGTTAGTTAAATTGCCTAAATCATACAGCTAGTGAATAGCAGAGCTTAGATTGGCACCCACTTCTGCTCTCAGAAATGCATGCAAATCTTTACTGCCTTCACCTTTTAGACACTGCTCAAGGAACCAGGCTCAAGGAACACTGAGTGGAACAGAGAAGCTTGCTGTCCTGGTCAAACTCAGTAAACAATGAAAATTAAAAGAGTTCTCAAAATAAATAAACAGTTCTCAGTGCTATGAGTGATGTAGTGCCATGGAAATGTTTAACAGAAACACGTATTCTATCATAGGGTTAGGGAAATCTTTTCAGAAAGAGAAGTGAAGACCTGAAGTATAAGTTAGAATGGGAGTGGGGAGTGTTTGGAGCTGATGATATGCATGGAGGCAACAAACCATTTGAGGAACTGAACGAAACGCAGAACGTCTGGAGTATATAAGGCTGTGAAGGGAGGTGGGAACCAGATCCAGCTGGGCTATTTAGACTTATTGACTTTTTCAAGGGTAGGGGTGTAGTCAGACTTGTGTTTTTAAAAGATTGCAATGCTCTCAGTGGATGATGGATTAGAGGAGAGCTATCCTATAGGTAGGGAGAGTGAAAGTTACTCAGTTGTGTCTGACTCTTTGCAACCCAGGCCAGAGTACTGGAGTGGGTAGCCATTCCCTTCTCCAGGGGATCTTCCCAAACCAAGGATGGAACCCAGGTTCCTGCGATTTCCCACACTGCAGGCAGATTCTGTACCAGCTGAGCCACCAGGGAAGCCCTGTAGACAGGGAGATCGTAATTAAAGATGCTAGTGGCATGCATTTAGGTAACTGCGGAGAAGCGTGTGTGTATGTATGTGTGTGTTTCAGAGAATGATACTGTTCGCTCAGCTCAGCGAACAGTCGCTCAGAATAGTCGCTCAGCTGTGTCTGACTCTCTGCGACCCCATGAACTCTAGCCCTCCAGGCTCCTCTATCCATGGAATTCTCAAGGCAAGAACACTGGAGTCGGTTGTCATTCCCTTCTCCAGGGGGTCTTCCCGAGCCAGGGGTTGAAACTGAGTCTCCCGCATTGCGGGCACAGTCTTCACCGTCTAAGCCACCAGGGAAGCCCATGTGTTTAAGTGTTCACAAGTGTTTAAGACTTGAGGATTGATTAGAACGGGAGGAGTGGGCAGGCAAGAGAGAAATCAATGATGATTTCCAGTGTTCCGAGTGCACAGTTTTAGTAAGGGTAAGGTTCTGTAAGCTTATTATCTCGTATTTTTAAAGCAAAGTAGATTCAGATAAGTGAGGTTATGTGAAAGGCTTATTTTAGTAAAATTTCAGTGACTAGAATTTATTAGAAAGTATGGGATAAAATTACAGTCTTTGTGGTTAGGTTTACTATTTTTGTTGTTTTAGTTATATCTATAGGCCTATTGTTCCATGAGCGTGTTAGTTGTGAAAACTGGAAGAAATGTCTTTTTGCCACTAAGAGGATTAGCCATGGAAGACCAGCTGTATGTAGGTTATGAACCATCAGTCTACTGAGTTTCTTTTGTGATCGCCCTGTTGAGTAACCTTGATTGAGTTTCTGAAGCTCTACATCCCCTCTTGGCGCCACCTATTTCTCCACACCTGAAGTTTCTAAAAGGGATAGTAGTAGATGGTTCCTATCAATGGATGATTTGGACTCCGCCTTCTTCCTCTAGGTCCCGCCCCCTTCCCTGAGACCACACCCCCTTTCAGTTGTCCCGCCCCTTAATGAGGTCGTCGCTGATATGACAGCGATTCTCCACAATCCTGACCTATAGGAGATTGGAAGGGTGGGACCGAAATCAATTTCCTTTTTCATTTGTCAAATCAAATGTCTATCTGGTTCCAGTCTCGTCCCACTTCCTCTTCAAGCCAATGATTGGTTGCTCTGTTCTTGCTCCCCGGCTCACGATTGGTTCTTTCGTTCCACCCCTCTCTTCCAGCTTTTGCAGGCGGGATTAGCACGCAGCTTCCTGCTCCTGCCAAAAAAATAAAAGAAGAAAAAGAAAAGAGGAGAGAGGCGAAATAAAATGTCACGGAGATCTTTGGTGTTTAATTCGCTTTTGGCCTTGTCGGTCAGGCCCAACTCTGCCTTTTGATTGGTTTTTCTATCTGCCCATCCTGGGTCGGGGGCGGGATTTCCCCAGGAGACCCACACCTTGTCGCCACTGGCCGAACAGTGCGCCTGTCTGAAGCTGCCGGCCTAGGATTGGAGGCGGACGCGGACAGGTGGGCGTGGATTGGCTAGGGCAGCCGGTCAGTGTGAGGCGGGGGCGGGGCCTCGGCGGCTGGTTGCGCGTGTCCGCCGCTGGCTCCGCTCTATCCGGCTTTGCTAGGGGAGGTGAGTCCGGCCGCGGCGGCACCGGCGGCTGAGGAGGCGGCGGCTGAGGAGAAAGCGGCCACAGCGGCTGAGGAGAAAGCGGCCGCGGGGACGGAAGCCGGGTGGGGGGGAGGGGGGGAGACGGAGAAGCCTTGAGCCCTGCGGGGGCCGTCGCGCGGGGGGACCCACCCGCTCTCCCCCCCAACCCTCCTCAGCAGAAGCAGCCGGCGGCGGGGGCTGGAGTCAGTCCGCTTCCGACTGCACCCCGCCCGCCTCCTGGGGCTCCCATTCTTTGGCCCCGGGACCCTAACCTCCTCCCGGGGCGGTTCCCTCTGTCTCGGCGTCCGAGTGCTGCCCACCTTTTTCATTCCTCCCCGCACCTCCTTACCTTCACTTTGCCCCGGTTCTCTTTCTCCTCTCTGTCCTGCCCTGTCGCCTCCTCTGCTCACTCTGTCCCTCCTGCCTCCTTCCCTGGCTCTTTTCTGTTCGGGAAAGTTTAGTCCCCCACCCCCCCCCACCCCCCTCCAATCAGGTCAACCTGACGAGGAGTAGGGGGAGATGTAGGAAGGCCTGAGAGTTCGAGGGGGGGGGAAGCTGGTTTCCCTGAACATTTCCCCCCATCTTTTCACTTTGGGGTGGTGGAATTTTTTTCAGTTGCATTTTTGAGGAGGTGGTAGGTGTTTAGAAAAGGATGTGGGAATGGAAGGGGTAGATGAGTCAAGCCTCTTACAAGATTCCAAGGGTGGTGTGTTACCTGATCCTTTTCGCGTGTGGAGTTCAGGGGGTCGGGAGGTTTGGCCTTCATTCCCACATTCAAAGTTGGAACCTCCCCCGAATTAAAGATGGAGTTTTAGTATCCACTTGTGGCAGGAAACCTGGGGGGAAGGGGTCCCTTTTTTCTTTTTCTTTTCTTTTTTTTTTGGGGGGGGAGGGGGCAACCCACACCCTTCCACACACGCTCACCCCCAACTTAAACACCAAGATCCTCTAACTTGTCTGGATTGACTGATGAAGACATAAAGCCAGTTCCGCTCCATGTTTTTTGGAGGTGGAGTGAGTGGTTTTTTCCTTCATTTTTAAATGGCCAAATGACAGCTTGACCCAGTTTGCTTTCCAATCAAAGGGCATTTTTTTTTTTTTGAATGTCTCTTTGTGGCGCAAGAGCCAACGCAAAAATGATGGCGGCTTACAATGGCGGTACATCTGCGGCAGCAGCAGGGCACCACCACCACCATCACCACCACCTTCCACACCTCCCTCCTCCTCACCTTCACCACCACCACCACCCTCAGCACCATCTTCATCCCGGGTCGGCTGCTGCGGTCCACCCCGTGCAGCAGCATACCTCCTCGGCAGCTGCGGCAGCCGCCGCCGCGGCCGCAGCTGCAGCCATGTTAAACCCTGGGCAACAGCAGCCTTACTTCCCATCACCGGCACCGGGTCAGGCTCCAGGACCAGCTGCAGCAGCCCCAGCTCAGGTACAAGCTGCCGCAGCTGCCACAGTTAAGGCGCACCATCATCAGCACTCGCATCATCCACAACAGCAGCTGGATATTGAGCCGGATAGACCTATTGGATATGGAGCCTTTGGTGTCGTCTGGTGAGTATCCAAGGAAGAATCACGACTTCTGGTTTCTTCTCAAGGTTGCTGGGCAAGGCCTTTTCTCATGGTTTTTCTCCATGTCGACCCAAGTGGAACAAGCTGCTCAACTCAAACCATAGGAAGTCACCCTTCATTACCTGGTAAAAGGGGCCTGATGGCATTGGCTGTCTAGGCTTAAGCTTTGAAGTCCTGGCCAGTTGTGGTGGAGCACCCTTTGTTGAGGAACTCACAGAAGTTTGTTGTCTACCAAACTTACTGCATAGAACCCAAGGAAGCCACTGAATGGAGAATCAGTAAATAGGTGAATACATGGGACACTAATTCCTCCACAGACCTTGACCATCCCTTATGTTTGATTGAGTTTGAATCAGTTGCCCAATTGGAGCAGATGTCACAACTGACCCAAACTGGATTCCTTACCATGGTCTGGTCATCGGGGTACTTTCCACAACTATTTTGCTGTTTTCATTCCTTAATTTGTGATCAAGATCCCCAAAGGAAAATAGGGTTCATACTTGAACCAGTTAAGTTGTTGCATGAGTGAGTGGTTTATTTTAAACCATAAAGCTACAGTTGGGAAGTATGTAGCTTTAGCCTTTTGATAAGAATGCATTAAATATAGCATCACACATGAGTACCACAATTGAGGTCAGTAGACTGTAACTATGCAGTGGCCCACATTCAGCGTAATGTTTTAGTGTCATTTAGTGGCTTGTAAGTTGCTCTTACCCTTGGTTGGTTGCTGTAGTAGGGAGTGTACTTTCAAAGCATGAAACTGCTCTATTTTTGCTTGTGCTAGTATATATTTTTTAAAGTCTGAGGGCTTCTTAAATGCAACATTTTGTCTATTCTTTTTAGGAAGATTAGTAGTTTATAGTAAAATGTTTTTATCATTGTAGTGTCCTGTTTCTATCAAAACTAGAGTGAACTGAGTTTTTCTTCCCAAGGAATAAGTATCCTGGTGTGAATAGATGAATTGATGTGTTCAGTGCTTCAAAAATAGATTCCTTCAACTATACCCTGATTTTAAAAACGAAAAGATTCTTGTTAATGTCTAGAAAAGCCCCCATCACCTGGGGAAAATGAACTCTTTGGAACTAGCCTGGTAAGCGTCTCCTTTCATCATTGCTTTTCAGGCTGTAATTGGTATGAATTTCATTTTTGCATTACATCTGGCCATCTTTATTTACATTTCAGATTTTATAAACTAGGCTACTAAGTGATCCAACCCATCTTTTTTTAACCTGGTAAAGTCCAGTGTTTTCCCAGCGAGCTCTCCAAGGAGGTTGCTGCTGCAGTGCTCTGTTCTCCAAGGTGTGTGGGATTCCTGGTGGGAAAGAGTGTAGCCGGTAATGGTGCCTCTTCAGTCTCTGCTCAGGGACCTGCCTGTTCTTGCTTTCCTGTCTTCCCTTCCATATCCTATCCTCAGGGACTACACGGTGAACTTCTGTTCCTTGTCTAACCCTAGAGGATTTCAAAGCTGAGGGGAGGAAAATGGTTGTAATTTTGTCATTGATTTACTGAGAATTTGTTTGGATTTTCTTAGACCGGATGCTCTCTTTCATTTTAGTGCTTTGCATACAGTGCTAAGAACTGGAGATGTGCTGACAGGGAAATGGGTTGCAGGATTCTTGACTATGTTCTAAAGGTGTTATTTGCTCTTCATTTCTATCAACTGGTGATGGGGTTTGTAGAAATGTTAACTTAAAGTTGGTGCTAAGGGAATTTCTTTTTTCATTTTTTATTTTTTTCAAGGGAAGGGAGATAAGGAACTGGAGTGCTGAAACATATCCCACCAGCAAACATTTTGGTAATGGGTGTTCAAAATTAGCAGTATATGAAAATCCAAATGGTTTGATTTGAGTCCATTCTAGAGTCTTTCCTTGATTGACCCCTTCTACCACCCATGGAGTTCATTCCATGTACTTGAAGCACCTCCATTTGGACCATCTTCCACAGTGCACCAGTGGTTTTGTACTTGCCCTGTCTGACTGATCACATTTGTAAGCCCAATGAGGGTAGTGACTGGGCCTGCTAGAGTACCTTTTTTTCTCCCCAGCACGGTGCTGTGGCACCTTTGCTGCTTGGTTACTTGATCTCCTGGTCAGGTCCTTCTTTGTTCTTTAACCAAGTTTTTCTGCTTAGCTGCATTGAATGTTTTTATCAGCTGTTACAGGTGAAATACAATTCGGTATGAAAAAAAAGGAAAAGAGTTCCAGGTGTGTGTTTTAGTATGCAAATACTTTTCTATTTTTGTATTTACATATTTATAACTTGCTGTCTGAATTGCTTATTATATTTGAAATTTAATTGCTGTATGACCCAAGTTTTTGTTTTAACAAAAACTAGGAATTTGAATGACAGACCAGAGTGAATTGCACTAGTATTTTCAAACCCAAGCTAAAGATTTTAGTGAGCTCTTTTTACTTTTTAACTGTGTGAAGATTTTTCTTTTTAATTTAGAAGGCACTTAATGACTCTGAAACAACTATTTTCTAAAGTGGTTAAAATAGAACATAAAAATATTCTCCTAATGACACATCATTTAATTCAAAGCACCATATAACTACTTGGGCATTATAAGATTCACTTAGACTCAAATATGTTTAATCCTTTCTGCAAGTATTTTCCTTCTGTCATGGCATATGAGAGGAAACTGTGTGCGCTCTCGTTTCTTTTTCTGGACGTGTACCCAGTGGTACTAAACTGATAGCTAAGTGTTGCATATAATTTTGAGGGTTATTGTTGTTGCTCCAAGTAGACAAGGAGAGATATTTGTAGAGGTGATGCAGCATTTTACCATTCTGATTTCTCACTGAACAATTTAGTCTACCAGGCTTGATTTATCTTTCTGCTGAATTTAACTATTGGAATAACTTATCAGTATTGGACAGTTGTGTAAAAGTAGTGAATTACCTATTAGCTTGCTGGTAAAGGTGGTGCTTTGACAGTTCAATTAAGGTTTCATTAACAACTGTCTGCTGTGCTTTATCTCAAAGTAAGGATTCCAGTTTACCTAGTAATATGATCATGGGGTAGCCTGAGATACATTCATTGCCAGTGATAGAATATTGTTCATGGGTTATCAAAGCATTGTATATAATTTGACCTTCTTTATCAGATAACAAGGCTTCCAAATGCTCTTGTGGATATTTTCACAATGCAAAACCAAAGCACGAAACAACTCACAGACAGAAACCTCACTTGTTCTGTGAGAATAATGTCAATACCTTTTTGTCTGTAGTTAACATTTGCCAGATGGAAAGTAAGTTAGGTTGTTCTTAAAGATGTAACAACTTTGGGACAAAGAGTGTTACAACATAAAGCCTTCAGGGGCTCATGAAGTGTATACTTTTGAGAATTGGAGGAAATTGAACTGGTGAGAAACATTTGAGAACTGCAGAACCCAAGCAGTTTTGACTTTGGCAGCCAAAAATATCAGACTGAATTAATGGTACATATTGCCACCTTGATGATAGTCTGAGAAAGGCTTCTACCTTATGAAATCAGCATTTTTTACTTGTCTGGGATTACATTCAGTTTGTTGCCTTTGTTCTCCAAGTTAGTTGGAGAACTTTGAATTGTATTACTCTAATACTTTCAGCAGGCTACTTTTATATGAAGTTTGAAACTCTGTAGTGACACTTAGTTACTTACTAGCTGTGTGATCTTGATATATTGTTTAACCTCTCTCTGTTTCTCATCTAGAAAGTAAGGATAATAATAGCATTCGTTTCATTCCATTGGTTTGAGGATTAAATGAAGGTAATCCTTATAAACCATTGAGTACACTGTCTAGCACACAGTAAGCACTCAATAAATGTTAGCTGTTTTTTATTGTGGTTATTATTGGTAGGAAAATCAAACTTGTGTAAATGTGCATAGATGTGGCTTCACATATGGTCAGATTCATCAGGTAAAATCAACATGCAGACTATGGAATTCTCCAGGCAAGAATACTGGAGTGGGTAGCCATTCCCTTTTTCCAGGGGAGTCTTCCAGACCCAGGGATCGAACCCAGGTGTCCTGCACTGCAGGCAGGTCCTTTACCGTTTGAGCCACCCGAGAAGCCCCCTGTTTTTAGAGGCATGACTTTAAATACCACAGAGTGTACCCTTAGTTCTGCTATATGCCAAGGGGTTGAATTTAGGGTTAGGGTAAAGTATTCTGTTCTCTCAATTAATTAAAAGCAAATGCATTTTTTAAAGGCATAATATATATGTTTACATGGACTTGGTAGTTCTAGCCAGGTCATCTGTACTCGTTTAGGCAGTATTATAGATTTCCATACCTGGAAGGAAATTAATTTGTTTTTTCTCAGAATGTAACAAATGAAGGACATCCTTGTTGTCAAAGTTCACTTTTAGTGGAAATTCATTTTACTTGTGTATGGATGAACAGGTGTAAATTGTTAAAGATGATCCCAGTGAGGGGGGTGGAAATACGTGTGGTTTAATGAAAAATTATTCAGTATAAATCCTTATGCATGGCAGAGATTGTCTAGCTTCCTCATCTTGTGAAAATTAGAGGCATCATGTATTTTCTGATGTTTTCTCTAGTCCTCTTACTCCCCAAGTAGCAAATTAAAATTTGGAAAGTTGGGGAATGCTTTTGGGGATAATTTTGGGAAAATGCTGGCATTAGTTGCATCAGAAAGAGTAGTAGACTAAAGTGTATTTTGTTATTAGCTGCCTTTTCCAGGTTAGGAATCTGTAGCATTGAGAAGTTGCTCTATCAGCCAAGATTAACAGCCACAGCTGGATTCTTTGGGGTGGGGGGGCGTCTGCTTTGTGAAAAGAGCTTTGAAGAACCAGAGCCTGCACCATAAAAAGGAAACGGTTGCTCTTCTAGACATAACAAAGCATCCGTGTGAAACTAGAAATGTGGAAATCTATATTGTTAGTTTTAACTACAGACGAACTTACTTTTAGAAACTGCAGGTTCATGGTCATAAAGTCGAGGAGGCAGAGAGAGAATAAAAGGAACACAGTCTAATG